CATAGAGTTGCCCAAAGTAGCACGACGGAACACGCATACACTCAAGGCCCCTTCAACGCAGCAATTCCATAATGCAAAGTCACCAAGAGATGGCAAAAAAACAAAGCACGAGAGTGCAAACTTCAACCTGAGTCACCTGGACGCGGCAGTTAAACTGAGCGAAAAAGAGCCATGACTTGCAAAACACTGAAGCAATCTAAAGCACGAGAGTTAAAAAAAACAACACTGATCGAAATCACCTTGACGCAATGGTTAAGCCACTGCGAGCAGCAAATCGACCATGAAAATGCGCCCGCCGCACCTTGATGCAGCATTTTCACCGCGCAAAGACTCACTGCATGAGTTGCAAGAAAACATAAAACGCCGTGATATCGAGGGTGTGTGAGATTGAGATGCTGTGAAGTTTAGATGACATGAAGTTGGGATGCTGTGAAGTTTAGATGACATGAAGTTGAGATGCTGTGAAGTTTAGATGACATGAAGTTGAGATGCTGTGAAGTTTAGATGACATGAAGTTGAGATGCTGTGAAGTTGACATGACATGAGGACGAGATGCTGTGAAGTTGACATGACATGAAGTTGAGATGCCGTGAAGTTGAGATGACATGAAGTTGAGATGCTGTGAAGTTTAGATTACATGAAGTTGAGATGCTGTGGAGTGGGATGCTGTGAAGTTTAGATGACATGAAGTTGAGATGCTGTGAAGTTGATTACATGAAGTTGAGATGCTGTGAAGTTGACATGACATGAAGTTGAGATGCTGTGAAGTTTAGATTACATGAAGTTGAGATGCTGTGGAGTTGGGATGCTGTGAAGTTGAGATGACATGAAGTTGAGATGCTGTGAAGTTGAGATGCTGTGGAGTTGGGATGCTGTGAAGTTTAGATGACATGAAGTTGAGATGTTGTGAAGTTTAGATTACATGAAGTTGAGATGCTGTGAAGTTGACATGACATGAAGACGAGATGCTGTGAAGTTGAGATGACATGAAGTTGAGATGCTGTGTGAAGTTGAGATGCTGTGAAGTTTAGATGACATGAAGTTGGGATGCTGTGAAGTTTAGATGACATGAAGTTGAGATGCTGTGAAGTTGACATGACATGAAGACGAGATGCTGTGAAGTTGACATGACATGAAGACGAGATGCTGTGAAGTTTAGATTACATGAAGTTGAGATGCTGTGAAGTTTTAGTTGACATGAAGTTGAGATGCTGTGAAGTTGAGATGACATGAAGTTGAGATGCTGTGAAGTTTAGATGGCATGAAGTTGAGATGCTGTGAAGTTTAGATGACATGAAGTTGAGATGCTGTGAAGTTGAGATGACATGAAGTTGAGATGCTGTGAAGTTTAGATGACATGAAGTTGAGATGCTGTGCTGACATGAAGTTGAGATGCTGTGAAGTTGATGACATGAAGTTGAGATGCTGTGAAGTTTAGATTACATGAAGTTGAGATGCTGTGAAGTTGACATGACATGAAGTTGAGATGCTGTGAAGTTTAGATTACATGAAGTTGAGATGCTGTGGAGTTGGGATGCTGTGAAGTTGAGATGACATGAAGTTGAGATGCTGTGAAGTTGAGATGCTGTGGAGTTGGGATGCTGTGAAGTTTAGATGACATGAAGTTGAGATGTTGTGAAGTTTAGATTACATGAAGTTGAGATGCTGTGAAGTTGACATGACATGAAGACGAGATGCTGTGAAGTTGACATGACATGAAGTTGAGATGCTGTGAAGTTGAGATGCTGTGGAGTTGGGATGCTGTGAAGTTTAGATGACATGAAGTTGAGATGCTGTGAAATTGAGATGACATGAAGTTGAGATGCTGTGAAGTTTAGATGACATGAAGTTGAGATGCTGTGAAGTTTAGATGACATGAAGTTGAGATGCTGTGAAGTTTAGATGACATGAAGTTGAGATGCTGTGAAGTTTAGATGACATGAAGTTGAGATGCTGAAGTTGAGATGCTGTGAAGTTTAGATGACATGAAGTTGAGATGCTGTGAGTTTAGATGACATGAAGTTGAGATGCTGTGAAGTTTAGATGACATGAAGTTGAGATGCCTGTGAAGTTTAGATGACATGAAGTTGAGATGCTGTGAAGTTGAGATGACATGAAGTTGAGATGCTGTGAAGTTTAGATGGCATGAAGTTGAGATGCTGTGAAGTTTAGATGACATGAAGTTGGGACGCTGTGAAGTTTAGATGACATGAAGTTGAGATGACATGAAGTTGAGATGCTGTGAAGTTGAGATGCTGTGGAGTTGGGATGCTGTGAAGTTTAGATGACATGAAGTTGAGATGCTGTGAAGTTGACATGACATGAAGACGAGATGCTGTGAAGTTGAGATGACATGAAGTTGAGATGCTGTGAAGTTTAGATTACATGAAGTTGAGATGCTGTGAAGTTGACATGACATGAAGTTGAGATGCTGTGAAGTTTAGATGACATGAAGTTGAGATGCTGTGAAGTTGACATGACATGAAGTTGAGATGCTGTGAAGTTTAGATGACATGAAGTTGAGATGCTGTGAAGTTTAGATGGCATGAAGACGAGATGCTGTGAAGTTTAGATGACATGAAGTTGAGATGCTGTGAAGTTGAGATGACATGAAGTTGAGATGCTGTGAAGTTTAGATGACATGAAGTTGAGATGCTGTGAAGTTTAGATTACATAAACTTGAGATGCTGTGAAGTTGACATAACATGAAGACGAGATGATGTGAAGTTGACATGACATGAAGACGAGATGCTGTGAAGTTGAGATGACATGAAGTTGAGATGCTGTGAAGTTTAGATGACATGAAGTTGAGATGCTGTGAAGTTTAGATTACATGAACTTGAGATGCTGTGAAGTTTAGATTACATGAAGTTGAGATGCTGTGAAGTTGACATGACATGAAGACGAGATGCTGTGAAGTTGACATGACATGAAGACGAGATGCTGTGAAGTTGAGATGACATGAAGCTGAGATGCTGTGAAGTTTAGATGACATGAAGTTGAGATGCTGTGAAGTTTAGATGACATGAAGACGAGATGCTGTGAAGTTGGGATGGTGTGAAAGTTGGGATTATGCAGAGTTGAGAAGGTGTGAAGTGCGGACTATGTGAGCTTGAGATGATGTGAAGTGGGGATTTAAAATTCATCCGCAACTTTGGTGGTACTGCTTGAGACGTCCTTTTATTGTATACCTTTCGAAAAAGTGATTTTTGGCTCCTTCAACCCGTCCCCGTTCATGGTAGAACAGGACAAGTTTGTCTGAAAATAGGGAACCCTATTCCATCTCATGGTTAAAGAACTTGAGGCCCAAGGGTAAGGGACAAAAACTTGTGCCGTTTTTGCTGCCGGCGACATGCCAATGGTGTCCCCGTGGGGGATTGAGCCACCGCCAAACTGCTTGTGAACCAGCCAGGGGGGAGGCTCGGAGGGGGGGTAGTTAACAACAAACCCACTGAGCCGACCTTCCACCAACATTGTGCACATGGGATCTTCCGGCCATAGGACCCAAAGAACAAGAGAAATAAGGTGGGAGTTTCATGCGATGTGAGATTCCAGCTCCCCCCATACTTGCTAAAGCAAGAGATGCAAGAGGGACTTCAGCAAGCAGAAGCTAGTTTTCGTGACAAAGTTGTCCCAAAATGGCAAGAACTTGGGGCATCCCCCATTTTTACAACACCCCCTAACCAATCCATGATTAAATCACCGCAAAAAATCACTGTACATCTCCAATTTCAGGCTTGAGATGCTTTCCCAAATATACAAACAATTCCCGCAAACATTTCATGAACAATCCCTTCATTGTTTTCACACATCTGAAATAACCTAAGCAGCGAATGATAACCCCAATGTCAAGCATCATGTGTCGTACCGGTAATAAGGAGTGCCGCTGCCAGTCTTTATCGGAAATTTACCCAAATCATTTTTGGTGCGGTCCTCTTTGAGGTGATGAGCAGCGTCCAGCTTCGCCAGCTTCGCCAGCTTCGCCAGCTTCGCCAGCTTCGCCTTCGCCATGGCACTCAGCTGCGGCTGCGGAACACGGCGCGTCCGAGATTTCGCCCTGCAGGGACGTAGAAAAACGGATGTGCCTTTTCTTTGGGATTCATGCGTATAAGCATACATAAGGGATATACCATGAGCAAATCAACAAATAGGGCCAAATAGGAGCATTAGATCATTAGGAGTCCTTGAGTTCTCCTTCGACTTCTTGAATCCAGTGACAAAAACCATATATTCTGTTCTGATACAGTTCTGAACTCCTCGCTCTTGCAGCTGCATGGTTTCAATTGCATTCGCAACTGAGGCTTGAAAAGAATATCGGACGGAAAAGGCAGCTTCAACAGCAGAACATGAATGAAGACAACGCGCTTCACTGGTGGTTTCAAACATTAAATGTGTGTGGGTCAACCCTATTGAAAAATGATCCCCAATTCCAGCGCTTCAAATGGTTCTGCCAAAGGTCCTCAGTGCTTCCTTTGCTGGATTTCTATTCGCCAATCCTATGCCAATCATTTGTTGGTCCCCCTCTGATTCCACTGCAAGGAGCATGCGCCGTTAGATGTTACTGGTGTAGATGGGCCACCAAGCTTGGAGTTGTTGCGCCGTTGCGCCACTCGTTGCGATGATGACCTATAGGATAGTGCCACTTCATCACATCAGGATAGTCATGAGTCCACTACATTAGGCCTACCTCTACTGTAGCCTGCGCCATGACTATCCACCGGATTCCTTGGTGACTCCAATGTCCAAACATCTACTGGGGCCTTAGACTTTGATCAAACCAAAACCGGAAACAACTGTGTGAGTTGATAAGTTCACAAAGAATCTGTTTGGTAGCAAAGCGCGGCACGCGCCCTTGTTTTGCTTGGGCAATCAAAAGCCTGCATGAATAGTCAAATGAGTGAATTGCTGTGTATATGGGCAATGCGGCGACGGGTCATGTTTGTCACCCTGCCTTTTGTGAAAGGTTTCCAGGCTATTTTGCCTAGACCTTGAACAAACTTTCACACATGCCCGTCTGCATCGTCCTCTACCGGTGGGTCCTTTGACCAAAGCACTGTTGTACCTTTTCCACCGCATTTTCCTTTCGATTTGGCCTTTGGCTCTGCAGTCACTCCTGGTGTATCAGTTGTTGATCCAGGTTCTTCTGTGACGACAGGTGGTGGTGGCAGCGCTGGTGCATGTGCGCTGCTCGAAGCTCCGATGTCCGTGTCCTCGATGATGGCCACGCTTCCTGTTGCACTCGGGCTCCATGAACCTTCATCATCACTTTCATATGGCTGCCCTCCAACTGGTTCTCCCCATCCATAATGGGCTGCTAACCATTCATCTGGCATGTCCGACTCCTCCAAGGATTCACCAGGTTGAATGCGACCAGCTTCATACCAAAATTGGTATTTCTTCCTTGCAAGTAGGAAACGGATCACCTTCTTGCGCTCTTCAACTCCTCCAAGTTGAACTGCCTTGTGCATTGCAAAGAGCTCCTGTATCGCGATCCAAATCTCCCTGGTGACCGGCCAACTCCTGCGGTAGGACGAGGTAGGACAGCTTGCGCACGATGTAGTGCTCCACACCGCGACTTTCACTGAGCACGATGAACCTGAAGTCGTCATACTCAGTCGGCTCGAGGTTCTCAAAGACACTGAAGTCCTCGTCCACCATGCCAACTGAGCCATAGTCCGTCTCCATGTCATCGTCGCTCTCTTCCTCTTCCTGTTCTTGCTCCATCTTGCATTCACCTGAAGGTCCTTCACCATGAATTGAAATGCTATCCACGTCGAAGTCGAAATCATAAGCTCCATCACCTAGTGGTACCGCACGATCACCACCAGCTTCAGCTCCAGGATCGACTTCAACTTCGATCTCTTCCATCTCAAATTCTCCACCTTCTTCCATGCCATTGTGAAACTCCTCCAGGGCCATTCTGCGGATATGCGCAGCTCCATTCATTGTTGGTTGTTCTTCTCCTGGAAGTTGTTCTTCTTCTTGAAACTCCTCATTCTCACCTCCAGACTCTTCATCGGTATCGTTCAACCAAACTCCAAGTCGTTGCTGCTCCTCTTCTCTGATCATTCTCCTGTCTCTCGACTGTCTCCACTGCGTTCTGACCCAATCCATTGCTTCTCTTGTTGCTTCGATCCGAAGGTGCATCACGTACATAATCTTCAGCAACGTCATGACCGCGATCACCAAAACCACGATGATGGACACCAAGAAGAAAATAGTCCACGGGGTAGTGACCTCGGTCGTCTCCACTGAAACAAAGCACTGTGCATTGCTCTCCATGTTGTAGGGCAGGCTCAAGGCTTCTCCTTCACCGAAAAGTAAAGTGCCAACTGATAGCCTCAGCAAACGCTTTGCCACCTTGTTGAGAAGTGTGCTGCTCTGACCCTGTTGAGCTTCTGGAACTTCAGCTTGCACAATCTTTCTGATCGCCGGCAGCTGTTCTCTGCTCTCCTTCTTCAGCCTCTCCTGTTCAAACTCTGCATGTCCCAGGTCACCATCGTCACTCTGGAAACCAAGTAGATGTAGTAGAAGTCGTACCCGTCGACCTCCAAGAACCTTCGTTCCCATGTCTGCCGGGTTTGTCAAAGTATCTACCCTTCGAAGTTGTAGGTCTCCAAGCTGTTGACGTTGTTGCATCCATAGCAAACGTCCATCAAGATGCTTCAGTCTCGAAACACCCTCTCGCATTCCGATGGCAATTGCTGAAGTGTTGTCACCCAAAACTTTGAGCTCCACCACGCCACAAACCAAATGTTGCACCACGGCCTTCAAGAAAAGCCCCTCTGACGCTCCTCCAACCAAAGCAACATATTCAGCTTCTGTGCTGCTCAGCGTGATGTGCTTCTGGGTGCGCGAGTAACCAAACAGCCAAATGCCACCGAGGAAAACCATGCCACACCTCGTAGATGACCTTGTCTCCTTCTGTCCATTCCAGTCAGAGTCAGTTGCTACTTCCAAAAGCTATACCTCCTTGCCGTCCACATACTCTGGGCCCGTAGCCAAACCAACCGCTCGGCTTCTGAAACTTGTTGATGGATCTGTGCCCTTTATGCACAGATGGAAATCTCTGGTTGCATGCATGTAGCCGACGAGGTTGTGGAGTGTTGCCATCGCTCCCTTCGTCGGTGATTGAAGCTTTGCCGCCAGCTCCTTGATCAGGTATTGCACATCAGGTCTATCTCCAGAAACATAAAGAAGTGTTCCGACGCACGATCGGAACAATTTCACTTCCTCCTCTGTCTCCAGCAAGTTGTTGTCAATGATCAAGTCACCCGGTGTGCGGCGCCTTCGAACTCCTCCAAGCAAAGAGACCAGTCCATCGATGTACTTCGGGTTCACTCTGATTCTTGTTGTTCCATCCACGATCTCAATGCTCCTCTTGAGGAAACTCAAAGTGTCACCACTCTCCACCGACAGCTTGTAGTGCTCCTTCAGGAACCTTTCCACTCTGTCCAACTCACTCTCGATGCCTCCCATCACGATGTCATCAACGTGCACCATGAGAGACAAAGTTCTGGAAGAATTGGTCCAAATTGTTGGTGTTTCAGGACATTGGAGAAGATCTGCAGCTTTGAGCTTGGACTTCAAGTCGTTGAACCAAACTGCAGCTCCTTCTCGTTGGCCGGGCAAAACCTTTCCAAGAACCCATTCACGATCCACTCCAAGTTGCCTTGCCAACTCCATGCTAAGCACCACCTTGACTGACTTGGGTTGGTCGCACATCAAGTATGCGTCCTTCACATCTGCCACCCTCATGCTCCATTGTTGAAGCTGACTCAATGCTGGGATCAGCCGCATTGCGGATTGCGTCCCAGTCGGTGCAAAAGTGTCGCTCCTATTGGGGTCCAACCAATTGAAATCACGTGCCACCAAACGTGCACGTCTCACCCATGCATTCTGCCTGAACCTCCAATCACATACCAATCTCGTTGTCAGCGTTGGGATCTGGTTGATGTCCTCTTCCAAGTTGGGCCTCCTCAAAACGCCCATGTCGATCAGCCGCAAGATTTCTGTTTGGGCTGCTTCTGCTTCCACCTGAGCCAACTCATCTGGTCCAAGGTCAGGTGGCTTGTAGGGGAACTCCATGTCCAAATCTCCATCAGCCAAGATCTCGCCATTCACGACCATTCTCACCGTTGGTTCACCTGCAGGTTGAGCTTCATCACCTCCACCATGTGTTGATGATGCCATAGCTGAACTTGATGATGTAGTAGGCTCCCCAAGACGTGGTACCTTTCTCGATGTTGTCCTTGCCGATTTCGCTGGGCTCTGCTCATCTTCATCTGCAACTTGTCCACCACGTTTTGGAGAAGTCTCCACACCACTTGCATACTCCTTTGGATCCTTCACCTCGGCCAGCAAATCCTCCAACAAAGTGTCGTCATCCACATCACCACGTTGTGAAGCCATAGCTGAAGAACTGCTCGAAGATTTCGAAGTAGGGTCTGATGCTGCCTCATCCAAAGACCCTGCCTGCCTTTGATCTCCTTCTCCTTCTGCAGCTCCTTGTTGTTCAGCTTGTTGTGGACCTCTCCTGGCTTCAAGAGCTGCTTGTTGCCTCTCCTGCCGCTCTTGAAGTCGTATTGGACCTGCCATGTCTGGTGGTAGAGCCACATTCTCGGTCTTTGCCATCAGTGGTGTACTCTTGGTTCCAATCTGGCCATAGGAGACATTCCATGGCCAGGTTCTCACATTGTTGAGGATGGTGGCATCAAACCCCGCAGGTAGGCGACGAATTGTCCTTGTCCACCTCAGCCCATCTGTAGTTGCAACGATGTGGAAGTCAGCTCTGTCTGTCTTTCCCAACCACACCGACGGCTTGAAGCGGTCGTCACCTGCACCACCTGGAAGTCTAGCCATCACCCTCTCACCAAAGATTGCCAGCTTTCCTTGGTACTTCCTGCCGGTGGTTTGTTCATATGCTGTTGCACTCCCATTGTGACGGCAGAAGTGCGTGATGAGCCATCCAGCATGCCTCATAGCCCACTGGAAAAGGGGTCCTTGACAGTTGATTCTGATACCAGCGCCCTCACTCAACCTTCTCACAAGTGTCCTTGCAAGGCCTCTCACAGTCTGGATCTCCCTCTCCACACGACCATTTCCTTGGCTATCTCCAGGGCCGCTATGTTCCACCAACGTCTTGAAACCAAGTTTCTGCCGGCACTTCTGGATGATGTCGACCAAGAGACGTGTGGAAGGTTCACCATCAGCCTTGATGATGCATGTTGAGAAACTGCAGGCACCTATGTATCGAACCACCTGCTCTGCCAAGAATTTTGCATGCCGTCGACCTTTTCCTGGTGTAGGTAGGGCCATCACACCTCTCGTCCAATGATCTGTCACCACCAAAGCCAGACCACCTTTCACATCTCCTCCATAAAGACGCAGGTCTTCCTTGTCGATCTCCTCTGGCTCCTCCAGACCTCTGGTGTAGCAGAAATCCATTGAAACAACTGGATACTCTGATTTTCCTTCAGCACGCATTGAACCTTGAAGTCGATGAGGATCTGAACGTGCTCGGGCTGCAACACAGCTTTCACACCAATCAGCAAAGGGCCAATGGGTCAGCTCATGCACCTGCCTCTCTGCCTTTGTTGGCAGTCGAGGGATCATCTGACCACGTGCATCACTTCCACCATCAGCCATCTTCTTCCTCTCAAACTCCCGCTGTGCAAGTTCCACGGCCAAATTCAGCAAAATGCTGGTGATACTCCACGAGCCTCTTCCATGCGTCAGCCTTGCTTCTCCCTTTGGGTAGGCCGTACATTCGAAGGCCTGTTCTCAGCTTTGAAAGCGCCATTCCTTTGTTGAACTTCTCTCCATCGATGTCGATCTCTTCTGGTTCTTCTTCTGCAAGACGTTGAGGTACTTCTCGATGTGCAGGGTCTCCTTCTCCTGTTTCTGGTTGTGGACCCATGCCCTCATCATCATCGACCTCGTACACTCCATCTTCCAATGTCTTGCCATGCCAGCCAAAACCTTGTACTTCCTTTCCTTGTTCTCCTTTGGGCTCATCTGGGCGTAGTGCTGGTTGAAGAAAAGGATCATCTGAACCTGTATGAATGGTTCCAACAGCGTTCACATCATGAGCTTCTCGATGGAAGAAAGTGACCACCGTGGTGAGCTCATCCCCGCACTCAGGAATCACACCCTCACTGTTGCTTGTCTCTGCCACTTCCACGACCTCCCAAACTCTGCCTTTCAGCACGATTGTTGAGCGGTACTGGAAGTCATTCCTGTTGAACTGCGGGAAGGAGTCCTTGAAGTGGTTGCTGTTGGGCACGACCAAGAAGGGTACCTTCCTATCCATTGACAAGTGCCATCCAGGAACTGTAAGAAGGCTGTTCATCATCCCTTCAAAACTCATGGTGACCTGTCGAACCACAGGCCCGGCTGACACCTTTGTCGGCTTCTCCACAATCTCCACCATCCTGATCTCAGCCTCCAGCGCCAAGCTGTTGCTTTTGAAACCCACGGTCTTGTAGAAGTCTCCATGGATGAGTTTCACTTCGCCTCCACTGCCTTCTACCTTCCAACCACGTTTCAACATCTTTCCAAGAGCCAACAGTGGGTCTGAAACATTCGACAGTGCAAACGTTTCCCTGAGCTCCACAATGCTCCCTTGATCATCTTCCATAGTCACCACAGCTTGCCGTAGGGCTCCACCTGGCATGCGGTTGCCTTGAGCATCTCGAAGGACGCTTGTCCTTGAAAGGGATTTTCCATAGTTCTTGTAAGACAGCGGCAACACTGAAACATCTGCACCACTGTCCAAGATGATGCTAACTGCATCACCAGTTGTGACTCCTCGAATCACTGCCTGATCTGCATGACGTCCTTGGCAAACTTCTGAATCAAATGGTGGTGGCCTCAAACCAAAATCCAATTTCTTGCCATAGGTCTCCACAGGGATGTCCTTGAAGTTCTCGAAATAGGCCCCATGCTGGTCCTCCTCGGTGTTGCAGACATACCAGTCATCATCGCTGTCACTGTATGTCATGTCATAGACACCTCCATCGACCATCCTAACATAGGGCTCCACCGGGATCTCATCCTCGTCCAAGTTGAGGTATGTCACCCTCCTGACAGCTGTTGACATAGTTGTTGTAGGTGAGCCTTGAACGGCACCTCCACTTCCAGTTGCACCACTCACCAACGACTGCGTATTCACTGTCGAAACTGAATCCTGTGCAACTTGCCTCAAAGTTCGAACTGGGCACTCTCGAGACCAGTGCCCCCTGTTGCCACACAGCTTGCACATGTCGTTGGGCAGACCTTTGCCCTTTCCTCTTCCTGCATCTCCCTGTTTTCCATAGTCCTTAGACTTGCCCTTGTCCTTGTTCTTGGACTTTCCACCATCTTTGAACTTGCCTTTGCCCTTGACGTCCTTGCCAGAACTTTTCAATTTTCCTTTCTCTTTTCCCTTCTGCTTGCCCTTGATGCGGTCTATCTCCATGGGGACCGCCTCATCAACCTTTTTGTCCTTCTTGATGTCAAGCTCCCTGTACACCGTGTGTGAGCTCCACGATGTTGTAGTGCGCTCATAGGCCAAGACCTTCTCCCGCACTGACAAGTAGTCTGCGCTTTCATCCATCTGCAGTTGTAGGTGTTGTCGAAGATTGTTGGGGACCACCTTGAGCAGAACTGACAGCTTTGTATTGTCACTCAGCTCCTCCTTCGACACCTGGGCATACTCCTCGGCCAAGCGCTCCAAGCCCAAGACCTGCTCCAAGACGCCGTCCTTCTTGAACGGGGGGTGGGCCAAGAAGGCCTGTAAGAGAGCAATTGACCGCGCCCTTGTCCTCGGCTGCATCTGCTGTGACAATTGTCTCCAAACCTCCAGTCCATTGCGTCCCTCAACGCTTCTCAAGATCTTCAGTGGCCTGTTCCTC